TTATATATTGTATATAAATGGTCAAGATTGTAATGAATGTGAAGAACTTTTTTGAAGGTAAAAATTTTCAAAATTCATCTAGGAAATAATGTGAGGCTTGTTATTGGTTATAACAAACTGGAAAACATTCTCATAATCTTTCTATTCTCAATGGTAATGAAATCTTCAGACAACATAGAGAAAAGTTTATAAATAACGCTTTATTTGAAAAAAATTTTGACTTGATTTTGTATCATCTAAAACAAAGAGGTATAAATTCTTATGGGACTCCTTTCTACCAACTTCATCTCTACAAATCCATTTGAAGGTTGTCTCCATTTTTAAAAGGTTAAATGGGGTATAGCAAATCTCTGAATTCATCAGATCCCATGAGGAAAGGCAGCTTGGTGGGAAGAGAGATGGCTTTGAGACTATACAGCTTTCAGCCTGCTTTCAAGTTTCCCTATCAGAGAGCAATGTACCTTACTTGGTCCTTCTGTGTTCTCATAGCCAAAATGTCCTTTCAAGATAAATGTGTATGGTTAGTTGGTCTTCCCACTGGACAATGCACATTTCATGTGGAGGGGTTGTATTCTAGCTTCCACTTTCTCATCTGTAAAATGGAAATCATTTGGAGTCCCTCCAGGATGGTTTGCAAGTGTAATAGGGTGAGGCATATAAAAGTACCTGGCATGGACCTCGGGCATAGCCTGGCACATGTGCTTAATAGAACAATGATTATTATATGAGACTTCTGGCATTCCTGTAGTAGTAGTATTCCTTTCCTCCTAACTAGTTCCAAATATTTGTTCATGTAGTGAGCATACTCATCACCCACAAGTAAACTAAAGCTGGATACAACTAGTCTGTTTCCATTAGATCTTTCATCAATTCTCTGGGTCAATGATTGGGATGTTTTCAAACCTGTTGCTAATACCATAAGTGGAGGAACTGGTTTTATGGCAATAAAAGAACATACACCTTTATATTGGGCATTTATGGAAACTCTAGACCACATGTGTCAAACACAAGGCCCGTGGGCCAAATCCGTCCCGCCAGGCCTTGCAATGTGGCCCGCACCGCGCTGTCATCACTGCACTCCGCTGCGTTTCCATCACAATGACAGTTTATGACTGTTCAGTAAACCATTCGGCCCGCGATTTAGGCTGGATTTTAGATTTTGGCCCCTTCTCTGATTGAGTTCGACACCCCTACTCTAGACATTCTCAACAACATGGTTTAAAACAGGATTTGCTTGATTAAAAGGGTTTATGGATGGTTTCCAACTGGTCAGAGACCAGAAGCTAATAACCAAGTCTAACTAAAGAACTGGTTATTTGGGGCAGCCATCTTTTTAATAGCACTCACAAAATTAACTGAAATAAAGGGTTGACTAGATGGATACCTTTGAGTTCATGGATGTTGTCTGAAAATGTGTCTCAGGGCCATCAAATATATTTTATCTGTTCTTATTTAAGGCTAGAGGCCCGGTGCATGAAATTCGTGCACTCAGAGGGAGGGGATCCTTCAGCCAAGATTGCTAGAAGGCACAGGTCATGCCAAGGGACCTCACTGGTGCATGATTGGGGCTGGGAGGGATGCAAGAGGTTGGCCTGTCAGGGAGAGACCACAGGAGGGCTCCAGGGCATGTCTGGCCCATTTCACTCAGTCCCAATCAGCCAGAACTCAGCAGCAAGTTAACCTACCAGTCAGAGTTTCTGCCCCCCTGGTGGTCAATGCACGTCATAGTGAATGGTCAACCTGTCAACTTTCTGCCCTCTGGTGATCAGTGCACGTCACAGTAAGCAGTTGAGTAGCCTTAGCATATCATTAGCATAGTATGCTTTGATTGGTTGAATGGATGACCAGATGACTGGGCACTTAGCATATTAGGCTTTCATTATATAGGATGACTCATAAAATTTCTAACTAGGTGATGTATTTTTATAAAGGCACTGTATTGATGTGATATTATCAACTAGATGAAGCAATCCAACTCAAGAAATTCAAGTTCTTTGGTTTTGGTTTAAGTTTTATCCTCCATTATTCCTTAATGGCATCATTAAAAAACTGGAAAGTAATACAATAGCTGATGTGTCCATTTAATCCCTGAATCTTATAACTGAAATACATGGCTCTTTTAGAATCAGAACAGGCATGGTATTAATATATAAATATACAGTTCTACAGTCTGGGAAATATAATTTGACCTTCATAAGCCCATTCTCCACAGAGACCTTTTTGTGTACAGAGACCTTTTTATAAGGAGGCTAAGGACTCAGATTTGGAAAGCCTGGCTGGATAAGGCCTGTTCCAAGATTATAATACAGCACAGACTTATATAAACTGAGGAAATAAAAATTTGTTAGCTCTTCTTTCCTATAAAAATTGTTAAAAGTCAAAGTTAAATGCACTGTTGTGTTGTTACGTTTAATTACTAAAGAGTATGACTATCTACACTTGAATTCTGACAAGCGTTAGTATGTGTACCTGCATGTGTATACTCATGCAAATTAATTTACTTAAATTTATCTTAATGGGCTATATATTTATATTTTGAAATAAAAATAAATTCCCCTGTGATTTAAACCCACATGTTCTGAATACTAGGTCAGTGCTTTTCCTCCAATACCATATATGTTCAAACCCAGGTCTTGAAATTCCCCGGTCCAATGCTTTTGCTCATGGGCAGTAAGAATCCCAGTTGGACTAGATAGGATGCTAATCCATGAATGGACACCTCACTCCATAAAAATGTACTGTGTGTTGATGGAGTACACTGAACATAAGAAAGACCCAGTTCTCCAAAAGACCCAGAGAGAGTAGTGGCTGTAAAGAACACAGAGTAAGCATCGCTGGTTCCTAGTTGCACTCAGGGAAATTTTGGCCAGTGTTTTCAGACCTGGTACCCACACCTTCAGTGCTGATAAACAATCCAGGCTCAAATGTAAGACCTGCAATTTTATAACGAGTGAAAAGAAGCAAAGATGAGAGGAAATAATAAAATACACCAGTAATTAAGGAATTTTATTTTATAAGAATCAACTCTCTCTCTACTGCAGTGCTTGCTAATTCAGTGGTAGGAGTATATCCAGGATATTTGCTGATTATGGGAAGGTTTTTCTCCTGTAGCAGGGCCTACTTAGGGTTGCTTCCAAGCAAACTCCAGCCATCAACAATCGGTCTACACTCACAATGTTGTTCGTTGCCAAATAGAAAATATTACAGGATGGCTTAAATAGCACACTGTATTAAAATATGGGAAAATGAGTAATAGCTAAGCTGAAAAAAACTGGTAATCTAAAAGTCAAAATAATTCTTATAATAATTTTTATCTATTCCATACCCTACAATACAAAAAGTACTTACTTCAGTTGAAATTTGATGCACAATACTTGGACTTTAGACCAGGCAGTTAAACAGAGAGCAAGCAGCTCATTGATAAAATAGACTCAGTGTCTTCTAGTGTTATTGATGCTTCCTATAGAAAACCACTTAACTATTGAATGCAGTATATACCCTGTGCTATAAAGTGCTATTCTCTGGAAATACAGCCTCAAACTATAAACCATAATTCATGACTTTATTTCTGTTAGTCACAAACTATTGAATTAATGGCATTTCAGGGTCAATATGGAAATCAACATATTTCAAAATGGGAGCCTAATACTCTTGCTATAGATCATTTTATAATGGGAAAATATTTTTATATTTTTTATGTTTAGAAATCTGCATTGAGCCAACAAATCTCAAGTGCACACACATACGTGTGTGTGTGTGTGTGTGTGTGTGTAAATTTTATTGATTTTAGTGGGAATGAGGCAAAGTAGGAGGATAAAATCTGTTGCTTATTAGCATAACAAGGGGGAGGGCAATTAAAAATGTGATTAAGGCAAAATGAACACAATTAAAGATGATTTTGATGTCTATGTTTCTATATAATTTGGTCTTTAAGTCAGGATAATGTGTTTGTTTGTTTTTATCCCCCCTTACTTTTTTCTAACTTCTTTAAATGGAGAATTCTTGGTTGTTAAAACTGAACTTTGAATTATAGGGCACAGTATAGAAGGCCAGAAAACAAAATAAGAGGATGGGTGATGGGGTTAAGGCTTTGTGTCCTTTGCTGCTAAACAGAACAAAGAACATGGAAATGGTATTGACTTTCTCTGAGTCTCAGTCTATTTGGAAATCATTCCAAATTGTTTTATGCAATTATTTGTGATCTTCCAAAAGGTGAGCTAGTTATTTCAAGTGTGCTGTTAGGCCACTGGAACATCATAAATTATTTCATTTTGAAAAATTTCAAGTATGTGACTATTATTCATATTGAAAAATCGACTCCTATTTTTGATTATTAGGAATAAAAGGAGTGGTGAAAAAATAGTCTTGGACAAATGGATGTTACAAAATCTACATCTGAGAAAACTGGTTTCTCCATATCCCTCCTTCAGTTAACATTAATAAAAAATGAAGACAGTACTGAGTGAATTTCAGGGCTTTGGCTTTTGAATTTTAACCTATTACTGTGTAATCTCTTCCTGACTGTCTTAGTTTGGCTTTAACATACAGTCTTCATATGATCTACAAATGGTGAATTCTATAGATGAATGGCCATAGCAATCCACTCAATATGTCATGAGTAATCATGGCTGCTTAGAGGTGTCCTTTCTCCATCATTAGTGGTGGCTGAATATTGCATATACTTTCTATAGCTGAAATTATACAATGCTCAAACAACCAGTCAATAGTCATGGTTGTTTTCATGACCCAAGTATTTACCCAGCCTGTGTCTATATCATTAAGGGTCTAGGAGTGATATCACTCATTTTTATTGTTACTTGCTATAAATCTCATTCTCACCTCTAACCAAACACCATATTATTATGAGCTAAGGTTCATATTTTCAAGGAGCAGAAGAGAGGAAAAAATTCACTTAGCACTGAGGCACCATTTCATTGCCAAATGTCCCTGAAGAAGCTTATTTTGGAAACACAAGTACTCACGACTTGAGCAATACTGACTTTGTAGAAGCTCTGCTGGTTGGGTCGTTCCACTCTGAAAAGAAAGGGCAAATATAATTACTATCCATGTTTTCTACTGTCAAGTGATTATTCTGAATTAAATTTGTCTTCAAGCGTTCAGCCCTTCCAGTTATACTTTTTCAGAGCATCCTTACATTAATAAAAGATGAAAAAAGAAACAAATTAGATATATCACAATATGACTTTTGTTATTGTTACTTTGTATTTCAATGACATTAGGTGGAAAAGAGAAGAGGGAGAGGGAGGTGAGGGCATGATATTTGGACAAAGAATTTTTTTAGAAAAACACCTACTTTGTAAGGTAAATCCTGGAGGAGTCAGATGTTGAGATTCCTATAAGGAAGAACACATACAATTCAAACATTAGTTAAATGAATCAAAGGTAACAAAAGACATATCCCTTATTGATGAAGATATAACTTGAATAATGTTTTAAATAGGAAACCACTGTTCACAATTCCATTAATTAGGCATCTGTCTATAGTTCTACTTGAAGGATAAACATTTAACAGGCAAATCTGCTTCAACATTATCATAACTGTCATTTTCTCAGAATTATATTATGATAGCCTGGTATCTATTGGAAATCTGTGTAACAAATGACCTCCATGTGTGAAATTCAAGTGTATAATTTCTCACTGAGCTAGGCAATGATGCTTCTAAGGAAGCAAAGAGGACTTAGTTTAGACAAATAATCATAATTTTGTAGCAGTATAAATAAGATTATAATTAATAGATTTTCTACTTGTTCCATTTTATAGAAACAGCTCCAATTTTCTACCTTAACCGTGACACATATGCAATAGATGTACCTCATTTTCATGAGAGAAGTGTTATTAACACTTCATTACAAATTTGTGAAATATAGGAAGCAATTTAAAATATGGTCGTGTAGCACATTATTAAATGGGTTTAAATTTGACTTGAAAGTCTTCCTACACATAATTCACTGATTTTGACAAATCAGTATTTGCACACATCAGGCTTTCTGGGAGTGTGGCACACCTGTTTGGACCCTGAAAAAACTTGCAGGCCAAAGCACTACAAAGATGTTCAGGACACACACAGCCCCTCATGGTAGTAAAGAAAATATCAACTAAATAGCAAATATTCCAAAACTGGAGACAATGAATTCCAGTAAATAAAAGAATAAGTTATAGCAATCAGTACTGCAATTAATATACTCTTTAACTCTAATCTTGCCATACTATATAGTAAAAATAGATTTACAGTATACTTACTATTTAAGTGACTAAGAATAACATCGTGCTTTAATAAAAAGTGAACTTTTCAGACTACTTAGCATGATTCTATTGCCCAAGAGGCTTATTTTCTGGCAAAATCAGCACTCCAGGAGAAACCAAGATGGTGGCATAGGTAAACACCTAAACTGCTGCCTTGCACAACAATTTCAAAACTACAACTAAAAGGCAAAATGGACATCATCCAGAACCACAGAAAGGCTGGATGAGTGGAAATCTTAGAACTAGAAAGAAAGATAAAATCTCACTGAGTCTCAGAGCAGCTGCAGGAGGTAGAGGAATTGAGGCATGCACACATGGAGAGGACTGCCAACTGAGTGTGTGGCTGGCTTTCTCAAGCCGGAGGGAGACAAACTGCCGACTGTGCTGAACTCCAGGTCCAGGCAAGACTCTGGGGACCCAGACTCATACAGGGTGAAACTGGAATGTCAGGAAAGAGAAAATCACACTGAGACTCAGAGGAGCTGCGGAAGGCAGTGGTACTGAGGCACACATGTGGAGAGGGCGGGCAACTGAGTACATGGATGGCTTTCTCAAGCGGGAGGGAGAGAAAAGCTCCCAACTGCACTGACCTTCAGTTCCGGATGAGACTCTGGGGACCCAGACTCATTCAGGGAGGAACTGGGCTGTCTGGCAGTGGGTGGAACCCAATGACCACTTTCCTCTCAGAGGTGATTGCAGTGATTACCACCAGACACTGAGACACAGGGGCTTATTAGGGCAGAGCTGATGGGAAACCAATGCTTTCTTCTCCGTCCTGAGCCTCTGCCCCATCCAAGATGAACACAGAGGCTTTTGCAAGTCTTCTCCCATAGGATATTTCCAGCACAGAATTTATCCCAGCATAGACACAGCTGATGCTCACAGCCAATTGGCCTGAAGGTCAATTCCTCCCAGTGATACCAACAACAATCAAGGATTAACTATAAGACTGTGTAGACAGCCCACAAAGAGGTGCACCAAGAGTGTCCACCTCAGGTAACTGGAGAGGCTGAGCCACTGGGCCCTATAGGAGACCTAGCACACAAAGCCACTCTATCAACTCAGGGAAGCAGAGAAAATGTGGAGACAAAGAAACAGATCACAAATGAAAGAAATGGAGGAAAACAAATAACTAGATATAGAGTTCAAACCATGGTTATAAGGTTTTTTAAGAATTTTCTAGAAAACGCTAATAAATTTAGGGAGATCCTTGAGGATATGAAAAAGGACCAACTAGAAATTAAGGATACACTGACTGAAATAAAAAAAAATATTATACAGAGATCTAACAGCTGACTAGAGGATCTCAAGAATCAAGTCAAAGATTTGAAATACAAAGAAGCAAAAAATACACAACCAGAAAAGAAAAAAGAAAAAAGAATCCAAAAATATGAAGATAGTGTAAGGAGCCTCTGGGCCAACCTCAAGCGTAACAACATCAGAATTATGAGGGTGCCAGAACAAGAGAGAGAGCAAGTTACTGAAAACCTATTTGAAGAAATAATGACCAAAAACTTCCCCCACCTGATGAAAGAAATAGACTTACAAGTCCAGGAAGCACACAGAACCCTAAACAAAAGGAATCCGAAGAGAACCACACCAAGTTACATCAAAATTAGAATGCCAAGAGCAAAGACAAAGATAGAATATTAAAAGCAGCAAGAGAAAAACAGTTACCTATAAGGGCGCACCCATAAGACTGTCAGAAAATTTCTCAACATAAACTATGCAGGCCTGATGGGAGAGGCAAGAAATATTCAAAGTGATGAATAGTAAGAACCTACAACCAAGATTACTCTACCCAACGAAGCTATCATTCAGAATGGAAGGTCAGATAAAGAGCTTCACAGATAAAAAGCTAAAGGAGTCCATCACCACCAAACCAAAATTACATGAAATGCTGAAAGGCATTTTTTTAAGAGGAAGAAGAAGAAAAAATGTTAAGATAAAAATTATGAATAACAAATACATATCTATCAACAAGTGAATCTAAAAATCAAGTCAATAAAAAATCTGATGAACAGAATAAACTGGTGAATATAATAGAATCAGAGGCATAGAAAGGGAGTGAACTGACACTTCTCAGGAAAAAGGGGTTTTTGTGCATGTGGGAAGAGCCTGGACAAAAATTGTACACCTATGGATGAGGACAGTGGCAGGGAAAAGGCAGATGCTGGGGTGGTAACTGGGTAGAGGGGAGATATGGGCAAAAAAAGAGGAATAATTGTGGTAATCTGAACAATACAGATTTATTAAATTAAAAATATCAGCACTCCAGAAGAGTACCATGAAATGTCCATAAAGTATTGAAAAGGCCTCTCAACCGACGAGTTGTGCTTTTGAAGTTTCTGTACCTTTGCTGATAGAAAATTGACTTTTGATAAAGAACTCTAACAAGCTTGGCTATTTGATTCCCACTACTTAGCAAATCATGGATGACGAGAAAGCAGAAACACTTTTAGAGGCACAATCACTATAAACACTGAGACATGAAAACTGCCAGCACAGAAAGCCAAAGAAAATGACACAGAAAATTCAGAACTTAAAGAGCATAAGAATATATGGTCTTTTAATATAGATCTAAGAATTCATATCCATCATAATAGCTCCTAAGGGCACAATTATAGCAGAGTATAACATTATAGAAGAGTACAATAACTAGTGCTCATAATAATGTCTAAGTTATCAAGAAAGAGTAAAGCATGTTCAGTATAATTTTTATAAGAAGTCATAAAAATACTAATTACATTTCAAAATGATACCTATTACATAATATGAAAAGACTAAAGGCCCAGATGCACAAAATTCATGCACAGGGGTGGGGAGGGTCCCTTAGCCCAGCCTGCACCCTCTCTAGTCTGGGACCCCTAAATGGGCAGTCTGACATCCCTCTCACAATCTAGGACTGCTGGCTCCCAACTGCTCACCTGCCTGCCTTCCTGATTGCCCCTAACCACTTCTGCCTGCCAACCTGATCACCCGCAAACCACTGCCCTGCCAGCCTCATTGATGTCTAACTGCTCCCCTGCCAGCCTGTTTGCCCCAAACTTCCCTTCTTTGCCAGCCTGCTCTCCCCTAACTGCCCTCCCTTGCAGACTTGATCACCCGAAACTGCCCTCCCTTGCAGTCCTGGTCCCTCCCAACTGCCGTCTCTTGCTGGCCATCTTGTGATGGCCATCTTCTATCCACATGGGGGCAGGATCTTTGACCACATGGGGGCAGCTATCTTGATCTTGTGTGTTGGAGTGATGGTCAATCTGCATATTATGCTTTTATTAGATAGGATAGAGGCCTGGTGCATGGGTGTGGGCCACCTGGTTTGCCCTGAAGGGTGGGGGTTCCCTTAGGGCATGGGGTGGCCTGGGCGAGGGGCCAGGGGTGGTTTTCAGGCCAGCGGTGCCCCCCAGCAAGCTAAGAAGAGGCCCTGGAATCTGGAATTTATTTACATTCTATTTAAACTTTGTAGCCTGGAGCAGAGCCAAGCCTCTTGCTCACTCCGGCTGCCACCATTTCTGTTTTGTTTTATGTATCTTTTACAATTGAAACTTTGTAGCCTGGCAAGGAGGCCTAGGCTGGCCAGGGCAGGTGGAAAGCTTGGCTTCCTCCATTGCCAGAGGCAACCCTAGCCTGCTGTCTCCAGCTCCTGGTTGCCACCATTTTTCTTGGGATTTACCTTCTATAATTGAAACTTTGTAGCCTTAAGTGGAGTCCTGGGCCAACCAGAATGTGCAGAAAGCTTGGCTTCCTCCATTGCTTGGGAAACCCAAGCCTCCCTCCTGCTCTCTCCATGGCTGCAGTCAGCTTGGTTTGGTTAATTTGCATAACCACTCTTGATTGGCTGGTGGGTGTATCAGAGTGATGTTTAATTTGCATATTATTCTTTTATTAGATAGGGTAATCTTTAGTAATCCAAGAATTTCAATTATCCAGAACACCTCATTCTCCAGATGGACAAATAAATGAGTGGTTAACCATTTATATGTTTTAACTTTATATCAATAATTCTACCAGTTATGGTTTTAAAAGGATTTCATTACAATTGTATAGGACAAGTTTGATCTTGTATATGTTTAGGAATCAAATGAAAAGTTCCAAAGTCAAATAAACCAAGTTTCTGACTAGAGTTAAACATGCAGCCAGTGCTTTTTATTGGTCCCAGAAATCTGGACAGAATTTTTAATCTTCATCCAAGTATTTTACACATTAGACTCAATCAGTTGTGCAGGGCAGCAGGGCAATAATGCATGAAACAAATTGGAGACTTATATTAGGTATTTACTAAATTTGAGTCACTGGTATTATGCATTCTTGACACAGTTTTTAATGTTAAGCTAGCTAAGACTTTTCAAAACCATAATTCCAAATGAATGAAATACTTTTGGATATTATCCAACTTACTTTATATAGATATCTAATCCCAATTAGAAATAGCTTGGTGATGGAAAGCATCTACATTGTTCATGCAATATTTTATATCACTCATTATTTCATATCATTCATATTGCTCATAATTCATATTCCTTTTTGTTTGAAAATCTTAACCATTTAAAAATCTAAAAACCGCTGAAACTGGTTTGGCTCAGTGGTAGAGCATTGGTCTGCGGACTGAAAGGTCCCAGGTTTGATTCCGGTCAGGGGCATGTAAATTGGTTGTGGGCACATCCCCGGTAGGGGGTGTGCAAGAGGCAGCTGGTCGATGTTTCTCTCTCATCGACGTTTCTAGCTCTCTAATGCTCTCCTTTCCTCTCTGAAAAAAATCAATAAAATATATTTAAAAAAATAAAAATCCAAAAACCCATGGGCTACAGTTTGCAAACCTCTGTTTAGGGAATGTTTACTTCCATGAAGCCTTTACAGAACTTCCCCTGAGGACATTATAGGTCCCTCAATTCTGCTTAGCAATGCATTTTTTTCCTTGGAGTTTTTCCATTTTCTAAGAAAAACATGCTATTTTCAATTTAAGATGGATACGTAAACTTAAGTTGAGAATTTTCAACTGCATCTGTTTTTATAAGTTTACTGAATCATGGATTATTTGAGCTGAAAAATCCATTGGGATTATATAGTACACACACACACACACACACACACACACACACACACACACAGTACAAATGGGGAAATGGAGGCTCAGAAGTACTTGAACAGGACCACATAGCCAGGAAATGGCAGAGGCAGGGTTAAAAGTAACCAGGTTCACAGCTCTTAAGATAGCACCCTGTCTACTGTGCAAGCTCTGTCATGGGTACAAGAAAAAATAGATGCTTTCTTAGAGGGTGTGTCACCAAGTTCTGGTTCAAACACTGAAGAAAGGGAGATCAGCCAAGTTACCTGTATTTACTGGAGACACCCAATGTTTTGGAAAATGGAATTTTGAACTGGGGCGCCTTAAAATCTGTGAGATAACAAACAAACAAAACACCCAAAAAACAAAAACACACTGTTGGCAAAACACCTGGATCTAAAGACTGGTTTCCTTATTTAATAGCTAGGTAATTCTGAACACATTACTTTACTCTTTGCCTCAATTTCCTCCTCTGTCAACTGGGGATAGTCAAATTATTAATCTCTTTCAATTGTAGTGACTAGAGTTCTTTGATATATATATTAAGTTTCTAGAATGAGGTGAGGAACATCATAGCATAATGTGTGTTTTTGATGTTATAATTGTTATTTTAAATGTACTTTTATTTCACACCAACATTTTGACAGGGATCAAGCTAAACAAAAGAGTGGGTGTATGGTCATCCTGGTCTCACCATTTTATCCTACTTCTTTCTACATTCATCATAGGGTTGATGATAGCACAGATAATTGTCAAAGAAAGCAAATCATGCCTGATTCCAAATTTTACACTTACTATAGAAGCCATTTAAATAGGCAGTTCTATTGTATACACTTATGAATGTCAAAATTGTTGATTTGTACAAACTATCTCCAAAATTGGACAATAGGACTGAAAATACTGCAATTGCTTGGCTTCAATGTCTAAAAGGGTTATATTAATTCCTTAGATGGGGTGCTAGGGAGAATGTATCAGGCCCAGGGCAGTCTAAAGACGGAGAGTGAGAATACAGGAGGAAATAACACATAACCAGAGGTTGATGTTCACTTAGTTCTGATGCCTTTCAAAGATAAGAAGGGATCAATGCAGTTTAAGCTAATGTTATTTTAAAAAATCATGATCTTAAAAATTAAGGGATCTGATTTATTCTTCCAAATATAAAGTCCAAACTATTTGGCTAGCATTCAAGGCCTTTCACAGAGATGTATTTATCTGCCCAGTGTATTCATCTTTCTCTATCCCCTATCACACAAACACTGATCCAGCCACTTGAGACATCATATAAATATGGATCATACCATGATCCCTAATCTTGTCATGCAGTTGCCCATTCTGTTCTTCTACATGGAGTGTTCTTCTCTTTAGCTCTACTGCATGTGTCAAAATCATAAGCATATTCTAAATGCAGCCACCTCTGTGAGCACTTCTTCAGTGCCCCAAGGAATGTTAAATACTTTTCTGAGCCTTTTATTCTTTATGAAGACACTTTTTATACTATTTTGTCATTTAGCTGATAACATATTTAGGGCTTTTATTCATCCCTAACATTAGTTTAGTGTACATCATCAGTAAATGGTTTCTGAGCAGACTGATAAATATTTAATTGGATAACAAGAAAGAAGCGAGGAAGGAAGGTATTTTTTCTCTTTTAAAGTTTGCTTTTAGAATAGCTATGTCTACTTACTAGTAGGCATTTTATTTTTATTGTTCCAATTTTAAAGTTTTATTTAAGACATCACATTTTCCACTTTACAATACAGGGCTTAAAAAGTGCAATATTTCCTTTCCCTGTGCACATAGTCCATATTCAGGTACCAAGAATGCTCAATTATTTATTATACTAGAGGTTGGGTGCAAATTAATGAAATCAGGGGTTCCCCAGCCTGGAATGCATCCTCTCACAGTCTGGGAGCCCTTGGGGGATATCCAAGTGATGGCGTAGGCCCACTCCCCTCTACAGTAGGACATCCTCAGCGCTATTGCAGAGGCAGGAGAAGCTCCCGCCACCTCCACTGCACTCATCAGCCCTGAGTCCAGCTTCTGGCTATGGGAGTGCACTTACCAAGATGGGGCAGCTCCTGAGTTGAGTGCCTGCCGCCTGGTGGTCAGTGCACGTCATAGCGACCAGTCATTCTACTGTTTGGTAGATTTGCATATTAGCCTTTTATTATATAGGATAGCAGCTCAACTTTTAAAACTGCCATGAACTTAAACATAAGATGGGAAACAATAAAAATATTAGAGGAATCAACAGGCAGCAAAATCTCAGACATATGCTGAAGCAATTTCTTAACATATACAGCTCCTAAGGCATGAAAACTAAAGAGAAAATAAACAAATGGGACTACATCAAAATAAAAGGATTTTGCACAAATAAACCATTAACAAAACAACAAGAAAGCCCACTGCATAGGATAACATATTTGCCAATGTTATCACAGATAAGGGTTTAATCTTCAACATTTAGAGGAAACTCATACAACTTAACAAAAGGAAGATAAATAACCCAATCAAAAAATGGGCAAAGGACCTATTAATAAATAGAAACTTTTTGAAAGAAGATATAGGAAAGGCCAAGAGACATATGAAAACATGCTCAAAGTCACTAATCATCTGAGAGTTGCGAATCAAAATAACAATGCGGTACCATCTCACACCAGTGAGAATGGTTATCATCAACAAATAAACAAAAAAAGTGCTGGAGAGGATGCGGAGCAAAAGGAACTCTCTTGCACTGCTGGTGGTGGGAATGCAGACTGGTGTTGCTACTGTGGAATACAGTATGGTGTTTCCTCAACTTCCATTTGACCCAGCAATCACACTTCTAGGAATATAACCCAAGACATCAGAAACACCAATCAGAAAGGATATATGCACCCCTATGTTCATAGCAGCACAATTTACGATAGCTAAGATTTGGAAACAGCTTAATGCCCATCAGCAGATGAATGGATTAGACAAATGTGGTGCATCTACACAATGGAATACTATGCTGCAGAAAAAAAGGAATTTTTACCATTTGCACAGCATGGATGGAACTAGAGAGTATTATATTAAGTGAAATAAGCCACTCAGTGAAAGATAAATGTCTTATGATCTCACTAATTTGTGGAATAGAATGAATAACATAAACTGATGAAATAAAATAGAACCAGAGTCATAGAAGCATCAAACACACTGTCCAACCTACGAGGTAAGGTGGGCGGTTAGGGAGTAAGAGATGCATGCATATGAGCATAACCAATGGACATAGATGAGGGGGCATGTGCTGGGGGTGGAGGCAGCTGGGGAGTAGTCAATGGGGAAAAAAGGAGACTTAGGTAATACTTTAAACAATAAATAATTTAAAGTAAAAATGATATTTATTATGACATCTCAAAGGGCAAGAGAGTGCCTATATTTTATGAAATTAGAAAATCAAGTCTATTTTTATTTTTAAAAAATCCAATTGGAAGATTGACATCATCAAAATAAGATAATGAAGGAAGGAAGGTAGATATCTGACCTGCCCTAGAATGGAAAATGTGTTCTGCTCAGAGTTTTCAGGGGTATGCATGGAAGTGAGAAGAATAGACAAGGGAAGTGTCATCTCCTGATGAGGAAAAACAAAGAACTTTATTTTCAGGCACTTAGAAAATTAAAAACTTTCTTGGGACTAAATATAATAAGCCCTTTATAAATACTTACTGACTTAATTGGCCTAGCTTTTTTTTCAGAGTTACATAAGTCATTTGGTCCATTTCCCTACTCCATGCTGTTGCTTCAAGCCTATCTGCAATACAAAGGGCCATCTAACATCCAGTGACAAGGAGTTCACTACTGTTTGAAACAGCTTGTCTCATGTTGAGACAGCTTGATTAGATGATTCTTCCTGGTTGTGAGCTACACCCTTGATTCACCAGAGCTTCTAACTATGGATCATACTTCGGAACTACAAAGAACATATCTCCTCTTCTTTCTCATGACAAGCCTTCATCTGTTGAAAGACATCAATTCTATCCACCGGTGTTGTCTTTTTTCTAGGCTGAGATATCCGTGGTTTGTTCATTTATTTATTGGGAATGTCCAACTTTTCACCTTTTCTTCTAATGCTTGCGCTCTGCATGCACTATTCTAGGTATTCCCAGGAAGGGCTTTCGATTGTATGGGGCTCTTCTAACTCATTGTATTCTATTTTAGGTGTGATTTGCCAGCTCAGGGGAGGGCAGTACTATCACCATCTTCATTCTGGATAATCTGATAGTCATGACTCTGGACATAGCCTAACAGTTAGTGACAAGATTACACTACATGGCATTAATTTTTCCATGCAAAGATGAGAAAGCTGAAGAGAATTCTTTGCCATTTGTAAAGATGGTTACTATGTGATTGGTAGCTCTGTTACACCAAGACATATACACTGTGTATTTGTGAGTTCAAGTCTCAAAGTAGGAAAACTACCTAAGGCTCCCTCCCACTCTCTGTTATCAGAAGGGGCACCTTCTCAGTTCTTTAAAACACTTAGTTTGAGAAGAGGTGCTGCATACTCAAAACCTGATTGAGTCATAGGGCTTGTGGCCAACAAGCTTTACCTGAAGAATAAGAACAATTAAATCACATGTTTAACATCCTAGCACCAGAGAGATGACAAAGTTTGTGAAGCAGGACAGTGCCAGCATGTGATGGATTCATCAAACATTTTTATATGTAAACGTTAAACATAAAATCATTGTAATGATAGAAATACATGAGAGCTTTGGGGAGGGGTACAAGAGATGAAGGTTTATGAAAGGCTTTGTTATTGTTATTGTTTTTGTTAATCCTTACCCAAAGATATTTTTTCCATTGCTTTTTAAAGAGAGAGTGGAAGGGAGTTGGAGAGATGCAGAGAGAGAAACACCGATGTGAGAGAGAGACATTACCTCCCTCCCCCAACCAGGGTCACCTAAGGTACATGTCTTTGACTGTAATTGAACGTGACCCTTCAGGTCCCAGGTCAACACTCTAACCACAGAGCAAAACCAGGTAGGGCTATGGAAGGCCTTTTTAATGACTCAAATTACATAATATTTTCCTCAGTCTTTATGGATAACATAATTAGTCATTGCAAAAGTAACATTAATAAAAAACCTCAAGTAGCACTAAAACATGATTTTTTCTTCTATAATTATCCAGTTCAAAAAGAAGCTATGAAGTATGAAGGGCTATATTGCAAGGAAATACTTCACAGATTCATTCACAGTAGCACCACTGAAGCATAATTTGTATGATTAAAAGTAGTGCTGATTTAGATTGGATTTTACTTAGCATTATTTAAAAGGTGGCAGTAAGTACATTAAAAATAAAAACAAAATTTGGAGGGTATGCTTAACCTACTGAAGAGATAGAATATTTCCAAGTGTGTTTTTTTTTTTTGAGATGTGCATTTGTATGCAGTTGATAACATTCTTGACAAATATTACTCATGAATTTCCTCAAAACAGTCCAAAAGTAAATCTATGAGACAATAGTTTGAAGCTGAATTCTGATTATTCTGTCTCTAAAACATTCAATGATTTTTTTTTATTTTTAGACTTTTTTTATTTTCTTTTTGATTAAGGCATTACATGTGTGCCCTTATCCTCTCATTGGCCCCACCACAACTCTGTTCATACCCTAACCACCATGGTGTCTGTGTTCATTGGTTAGGCTTATATGCATGCATACAAGTCCTTTGGTTGATCTCTTTCCATTACCCCTCCCCCCCAACACACACACACACACACACACACACCTTCCCTCTGAGTTTGATGGTCTATTCGAAGTTTCTCTTTCTCTGGATCTGTTTTTGTTCATCAGTTTGTGTTGTTCATTATTATTCCACAAATGAGTGACATCATGTGATATTTATCTTTCTTCAATTGATTTAATTTTGCTCCGCATAATGCTCCTGTTTAAGGCTGGTGTTCTCCAAAGTTAGTCCTATCATTTAATCAACAAAGGACAAGTGTTGGCGAGAATGCGGAGAAAAAAAGGAGCCCTTGTGCACTGCTGGTGGGAATGCAGACTGGTGCAGCCATTGTGGAGAACAGTATGGAGTTTCCTCAAAAAACTAAAAATGGAACTCCCATTTGACCCAGTAATCCCACTCCTATGAATATACCCTAAGAAACTAGAAACACCAATCAGAAAGGATATATGTACCCATGTTCATAGCAGCACAATTTACAATAGCTAAGATTTGGAAACAGCCTGGGTGCCCATCAGCAGATGACTGGATCAGAAAACTATGGTAAATCTACACAATGGAATTCTATGCTGTCATAAAAGAAGGAATTCTTACCATTTGCAGCAAGCTGGATGGAACTGGAGAACATTATGTTAAGTAAAATAAGCCAGTCAATGAAAGAAAAAAACCACATGATATTTGTGGATAATAAAGAACACTATAAACTGATGAACAAAAAGATAGATACAGAGGCAGTAAAGTATCAAACAGACTGTCAAATTAGAGTGAGAAGGTTAGGGAGAGGAGGGGGAGATAAAGATCAATTGAAGGACTTGTATGCATGCATATAAACATAACCAATGGCCGCAAAACACTGGGGGGTGAGGGCATGTATGGAAGTGGGTGGGGGAGCAATGGTAAAATATGTACACATATAATACCTTAATAAAAAATGGAGAGAAAAAAAAGATTTTGAAAAGCTGTAAAAAAATGTCCTATAATTTAAAAGATACAGCTCCAGTTTTAGTTTTTGAACCTTGATCCTACTTCTAGGAATATATCTCAAGAAACCAGAAAAACCACTCCAAAAGGGTATATGCACCCCTATGCTCATAGCAGCACAATTTACCATAGCTAAGATTTGGAAACAGCTTAAGTGCCCATTAGCATATGAGTGGATTAAAAACAAAAAACAAAACTGTGGTATCTCCACACAATGGAATACTATGCTTCAGTAAAAGGAAGGAATTCTTGCCATTTTCAACAGCATGGATGAACCTGGAGAGTGTTATGTTAAGCAAAATAAGCCAGTCAGAGAAAGATAAATATCACATGATCTCACTTATTTGTGGAATATAATGAACAACATAAACTGATGAATAAAAACAGATCCAGAGACAGAGAAGCATCAATCAGATCATCAAACCTCAGAGGGAAAGTAGAAAAGAGTGGGGGTAGGGATCAACCAAAGAACTTGTATGCCTGCATATAAGCCTAATCAATGGACACAGACAACAGGGGGTTGAGAGCCTGAATTGGGGGGGGGGGGGGGTTGGGGATAATGAGAGGATAAGGACACATATATAACACCTTAATCAATAAAGAAAAATAAATAAATAAAACACTCCACCCCAAAAAATGAAAGATATAGGTCCTGTTTATCCAGAGTCAACCAAAGAACAGTAAGCACCAGCTTGGGATGGAAGTGCTGTCTCTTTTCAGCAACTAGGGAGAATGCCTTATTAATGAGAGGCTTAGTTATACCCCTTTTCACTATTGGCTTTAGAGGTGTAATCTGGTTTGATTAAAAAGTGTTACAGACCTCTGATGAATGAATTCACTTCTCAAAGGTGTACCTTCTCTCTTGGTTCTTTTGCATTTACTCTGAGGTATAATACATTCTGATTATCTTGAATTACTATAAGAGTGTACTGACCTGTCGTTCAATCCACATTGAATTGCATACACTTTTACATTTCCAATTATAATTGATTCTCTCTATTTGAAAATGTGAGATTTCATGAAACAGCAAGCTGATTCCATGGAACCATGATGCATTTGATTAAGGTAGGGAGGATACAGTTTAAAGGAATATAATTTCCTGAAAAGTATCTTTAGTGAGGAACAGTAGAGAAATCTTTTCAATTCCCTAAATTAGAGTTGTAAAGAGCAGAAACCTCACAGCAGATTCTCCATTTTATCCTTTTTATTTATACTTGGAGTTTATTAATTCATTTTTATGTTCTTGCTATTCACAAGATAAAAACACCCATGTACCCTTATCTAACCTAATCCTTTATCTGTCCATGGCTTTTACATCAGGCTCCAGTGATGAGTACCGTCCTCAATATCAAGCATCGCTTCTCCCTTAACAACAAATCTACACACACACACACACACACACACACACACACACACACACACTTGATTGTTCCAAAACTCCGTTTCTAAGTTCCACCGATCCTTTCCAAGACAGACACAAAAGAGGAATTAATATCCCACTGGACACAATGTTTTGTGGGCTCCAAGACATGGGGCCACTTGCACATAGCCTCACCCACATTAGTCATAAGTGAATACTGGTGACAAAATGAAGACAAATCTAGTGTAGTGGAAAGAGTATGCCCTTTAGAATTAGGGCATACTCTTTCCACTACACTAGATTTGTCTTCATTTTGTAAGGTTGACTAACATGGTTAATAGAGAAAGGACTAAGTAATAACGTTTTATTTTTCAGTATTTGACAGAGAATAAGCACACAAGCAATAGAGTATTCCACATAATTTCTAACAACGGTAAAAACTTTGCATTAATGTTATCTGAAGATTCCATAGTCAAACCCAGAAAAATCAGAAAGGGTCCATTTTGACCAGTAATTCACCTCCATATTATAAATACTATGGCTC